GAAGAAAAAGGCCAAGGGAGAGGATGAAGGGGTATTTGTCTCCTGGGGGTGGTGGTGGCAATGGGACACAAAATGCTGGCTGTGGATAGAGAGGAGACAGACATGGTCCATAGGAAAATGGCAGTCTATAAAGGTAAAAGGGGAAACTTGTATTAGGGTGAGGTGTTTAGTTTTAATTAGGCTTGTTAATTAGGTGAACCAAAGGGCCTTTTGATGGCTGGACTTCAGTACTTTGATAGCTGGATCTTGGTAGTCAGTCTCAGGAGGAGGATGTGGCCAAATAAGGGACTGGACCTTGATGGCTGGCTTTAGGAATGCCATCTAACTGTTTTTAGAAGATAAAGGGAATTGGGGAGAAGGACAAGGCCTGCCAGAGATGTGTTTGCCATTCTCGGGTTTGTTAGAGTCCCTTCACGTAGAATCCCATTTGGGTAGTGAGGAGGAGGTGGCACAGTTCACCATGTCATGTCCTGGGGTCATTTGACACCCACAGGCAGTCCTTTGGGGCTTGATTGAAATCAAGGGGCAGCTCCGAGTGAGTTCCAGTCTGGGAGGTCCCCTGAGTTCTGGACAAGAGTGGTGAAGAGAAGCTAGAAATAGCTTCTGAGTTGGTTTGATCAGCAGCCAAACACAAAAGTGACAGACTAGGGTGATGTGGTCAAACTGGGATTGGCAAAATCTCTGTGTGTGTGTGTGTGTGTGTGTGTGCGTGCGTGCGTGTGTGTGTGTGTGTGTGTGTGTGTAGGGGCAGTCCTTCAAACCAAGTGCTTCTGGGGGCTGAATGGACAGCTTCTTTCTCCAACTTCTTTTTCAGAAGGTTTGGGAGCCAGGAGCGTTTTGTGCTGGGGTGACTTCCCAAGGTTTGTGGTTCTGTGGGGAAGGTCAGGCGGGCCCATGGGCTGAGTTTGGTTGGCTTCCTAAGTTGGGGAGGGAAAGTTATAATAATATGAGGAGAATTCTGAGATTCTCACAATACTTATTATAGTTAGTTTAGGATCTGAAGATTACTTGTGATCTAAAAATATTCCCCCGACTGCAGTATTCTTAGCTCCACAGTTCGCTGTGATATGCATTGTTCCTGGCTGAATTACATCTGAGAAATGTCTTCTCTCTAACGTACATCTGAAATGTGTCTTGTCTGTGCAATTAACCAAAAGAACACTGAGAACCTTAGAAAGAACTGAAGCTTTCTGATGATGCGAACACCACAGCCCACATCTCCTCCCAACCATTCTGATTGGGTATCTAAGACCCACTCAGCCAGGGCATTTTTTGGGTGCCTCTTGGACACTTAAGCCTCTATGTTCTTGACACCCAACTGTTTCACCACTCTTTCACCAAGCCCTCCTCTTTTTCAGACGTTGTCATCTTCAGAAGTGGCCCCCACCATCCCCTACCCACAGACTCTAGCCAGATCTTGGGAGGGGACCCAGAGAGTTCATTTGACTTTTCACCTAGGTCTAATCCAACAGTGAGTTTCTGCTCACCCATCCTTTAGGATGTCTCTTGAAACTACACCTGTCTCCATCTTCCCAGCGGCCATCATCACTTTCCAGGGCTAGCTTGTCAGTCAGAATCAACTCTTTGTAAGTATCTGATGACATCAGGTCAGTTCTCTGATTCAAGTCCTTCTGTGGTTCTGCCTGGCGTTTAGAATGACATCAACCTCCTTGCTTTGGTCTGTAGAGTCCTGCATGATTTGTCTACTTACTCCTACCTTCCAGCGCTCGATCCACCCCCCCACCCCATTCTCTGTGCTCCGGGCCTGCTGAGTGTGGTTTGTCCAAACTCTCAGCTCTTCTTGGTCCTGGACTTTTGTGCTTGCTGTGCTTTCTGCTTGCACTGCCCCTTCCTTGGCCCCTGCTTTCTCCTTGTCTCCTTCACCTATGAGCATGATCCCCCCCCCATCTCATCCTCTGCTTGTAATTTCGTATTCCTTTTACATTCTTTTATTTAATGTCTGTCTCCAACAGAGGTAGAAGTGTGTCTCTCTTGGCATGGCTTTATTGCTGACCGCCACCAGCTTCTAGCGAGCTCCCTCTCAGTGCCGACTGGTGGCTGAATGGAGGGGCATGAATGGACACAGTTCTGGGCTTGAAGCATGTGTGGTAACGTAAGGTAGAGACTGTTGGAGCTCAGAGGCAGGCACAGGAGTCACACCATTTCCTGCACTGCGGGGCTGGGCGTTCACAGTCACAGCCTCACTGGGACAAGTGTCCGTTTGAATGAGGGCATTTCCATTCTCACAAATGCTTACTAGTTCCTGGAAACAGATTGTGTCTCTCTGATTGTCTATTATGTTCTTTTCTCTCTTTTTTCCCCCAAACTGCTGAAGATCTTGGAACCAAACCAAAGTAATCTGCATTTCCATTTTTATGTCTTAATTTATAAACTGTGCCTTATAATTTACAAGCACTCACTTAGTGTCTCTACCAGAGCCTAAACAAATAATAGCTCTGCCAGCCCTACGCCTCTAGTCTTCCCCCAACACTCTACTCGGACAGACTGCAGCTGGTTCTAGCATGGGATGGTTGAATTGAACGAGAATGACCCCGCCCCCAGGCATATGTGAATGTTTGGATCCCCAGTGAGTGTAACTGCTTGGGAAGGGATAGGAGGTATGGCCATGTTGGGGGAGAAGCGTCCCTGAGGGTGGGCTTTGAGATTCAAGACCCACGCCATTTCCCAGTTAGCAACCTCTCTCTGTCCCCTAGTTGCATATTAGGGTGCAAGCTCTCAGTTCCTGCTCCAGCACCATGCTTGCCTACTGGGCTCCTGCCACACACCCTGCTGTGTTGGTTTTGGATTCACTGCTGGACACTGTAAGCACCCAATAAACTCTTTCTTCTAGAAGTTGCCTTGGTCATGGTGTCTCTTCACAGTAATAGAATAGGAATTCTATTACTATTACTTCAAGATACTTGGAGGCATTCATGACAGCCATAATGACGGTTAGCCTCGTGCTACAGGTGACCGAGAAGGCTGTCTGTCAGAGAGGGCCAGCCCTAGACATGTGCCTCATGTTCCCTTTCAGGAACAGGGAACAGTGCTATTGGAGGTTGGATCCCTTTTTGTGCAGCCCTGGCACCTGCTCCCCCCCTCGGAGCCCCGCAGCCAGTTCTGGAGTATAACCTTTCTGGCTGGGTCCTTGGTTTGCTTGGGTAAGTGGAAAATGCCTCTGAGTTCCTACTCAGAAAATGAAAAGATCCATTCCCCAAGGTGTGTGTGTGTGTATGTGTATGTATGTGTGTGTATACGTGTGTGTATGTGTATGTATGTGTGTGTTTACGTGTGTGTATGTGTATGTATGCGTGTGTATGCGTGTGTGTATGTATGTGTGTGTGTAATTGGTGATGCATAGCTCATGTCACTGCTAGCTGTTGGATGCGCGGTAACTTCAGTGATATCTTAGCTGGCTACTGTTGAGTGTTAATTTGATAGATTTGGAATCACTTGGGAGACATGCCTTCAGGCACACCTTTGAGGGTCTGTTTGGATTAGATAGCCTCTCGGTGTGCCTGTGCAGGATTATCTTGATTAGGTGAACTGAAGTAGGCAGATCCCCAAGATACAAGGTGGTGCCATTTCCTAGGTTTGGGTCCTGGGCTGTGTAAGAAGGAGGAAGCTAGTCAAGAGTGAGCATCCATCGCTCTCCACTTTCTAGAGTCAGATGCAACCTGATGCCTGAGGCCCTACCACCGGGACTTTCTTGACATGATGGACTATCCTTGGATGTGAGCCCAAATAAATGCTTTGTCCCTTAAGCTGTTTCTGGCCGGGGTATTTTACCATAGCAACAAGAAAAGTAACTAAGACAGTGTCTAACTTCTGCCACTAAGTCCCCTACTAACAGCCCACTTTCCATTCCTTTGGCCAGTCTATATATCCATGTAACCCTGGGAAAGTCCTCCCTTTGGGCTGTCTGCCCAGCTTGACTGATGCTCCCTGCTCATAGGGACTATTCCTCTCTTTCCCATAGTGGACAGCTAGATGTTTCCCATGTGAATGGTGCTGAAATGACTCAGGACTAAGTGACAGTATTGATGCCTACCTTCTTCGGCATCGCCTGTGTGTGTTTGAGGGGCATGCTAACAACAGAACAGATAGGTCCCAGCTCTGAACCTTTGCAGCAGTAGGGGCGGGGTAGCTACAGAGCTTGTTCTGCTTTGGCGTTTTCCTCCATTTCCCCCGCGGCACACTGCCTTATGATAACATTCGAATTCCTGGAGACAAACTCCAGAGTAGAAAAGGGGTTCCCTGAGGTCAGTTACAAAGTCCCATCTCAGGCTCCAGTCTTTCTTCTTGGTGCTGTTACACCAGACTTTACAGTTACCGAGGCCTTCTGGGCTTCAGCTTTCTCATGGGAAAATTCTGGAGGGTGGGATAGCAGATAGGAACTGCTAAGGGTTAGAGATGAAAGGCGCAGGGCTTGCTGAGTCAGACTCCGGTCTGTCTTTACAATCTGTAAATCTGTTCCTATCAGGGGATGGGGTGTAGGTTACTGTGCTGAGCCAGGGGAAAGTTTTTACAGGATCTTTTTTTGCAAGGCCCAGTATGGCAGGAGATGCTGTAGCTGTTTTTGCGATTCTACTTTCCATGGGCAATGGAAAGCGACTGGCTTCAGTGAGCTCAGGTGCAGTGGCGACTCAAACCCCACAGTCACATGGTTGGCCGGCCAAGGCGGCCCAGCCAAACCCCTTTGTCACATTCACTTAGGTCCTCTTCAAGATCAATGAAGGATGATGCTCAAAGGTCTGGCCTCTTCCGAACTCTCAGGGCAGAGACCCCTCTCCCAGCTCAAGCTAGTTCTCCCCACCCCTACTTTTCTGGGAGGTATGGAACCTCCTGTCGTTACTGCTTCTACTTTTTAAAAAATTATTTATTTTTTTGCGGGGATGGAAGCTCACATTTTGACTCCGCAGAAAGGAGTCCAGTGTCCCTGAAATTCTTTGCAGCCCGCAGAAGGATTGCGGGTCCCGGCTCCGGCTAAGCTCAGCCGGGATCCCAGGGGGTCTGAGCTTCGGTCGGCCCCTCCCCCAAGGTCATCCAACTTTTCCCTCCCCCTCCCCCGCGGGGCGGGCCCCCGCGTGCATTATTCATTGGTTCGGGCCCGCGGCGGGCGCGGGTGCTGATGTCAGGCCAGCGCGGGTGAGGCGGGCGCGGCGGCCGCCCAGCAGCCCGGGCGCGGGTGGGGGGGCGCCGAGTGGGGGTGGCGGCCAGCATGCTGCTCGGCTGCGGCTCGGCCTCCCACACCCGCGGCGCCCGCGTCCTCGCCAGCAGCGCCGGCGGCCGATCGGAAAGCGGCACCCGCGTCTGCAGCGGCGCCGGGTCGGAGCGCGCGGCGCGGGGCGGTGGCGGCAGCAGGGGTCCTGGCCCGAGCGGGTACCGGGGGTCCTGGCATGGCGCTGCGGAGAGGCGGCGGGGCGCTGGGGCTGCTGCTGCTGAGCGCCGCGTGCCTCATCCCGCCGAGCGCGCAGGTGAGGCGGTTGGCGCGCTGCCCCGCCACTTGCAGCTGTACCAAGGAGTCCATCATCTGCGTGGGTTCCTCCTGGGTGCCCAGGATCGTGCCTGGCGACATCAGCTCCCTGTGAGTGGGACCCCTCCATCCCCGCCCCGCCCTGCCCTGTGCCGGCCGCCACCACGGAGTTGCGGCTGGTGCTGGGGCAACGCCACCTGACCCTGCTCCCTAATTTCTTTCTTTGCGTTTGGGTTGGGGGCGCACTACGGGACGTGGGTGGAGTCTGTGCCGCGGGGAGGCTAGGGGAGTCAGAACAACAGAGTGCGGGAATCCAGATAGGTCCGCGTGACAGTTTCTCATTGTGGCCCGTGGCCACCTGCATTAGATCTACCTGGGGGAGCTGATGTTACTGCAGACCCAGGGCCCACAGTGGGGTAGGGTCTTTGCACCAGAGTTCACAGCCTGTATTTCGCGCCCCGGGATGATCGTTGGGGGTGCCTTAAAGTTTTGAGTGGTTCTGTTGTGCTGCTGGGTGGGTGTGTGCGTGACTGGAGGGTAGCTGAATGTGCCCGGATTGAGTGGACTAACTAGGAATGGGTGAGGCCTCATGGCAGCCACCCTCCGGACCTCTCCACACTGCAGATTGGGAAGAGGCTGGCGTGGGCAAAGGAGGGGTGCTCCACGTGGCTTCAAAGAGGGGAAACCCAGAGGGCTTCCAAGTACCTTGGGATAATGAGGCGTCCAGCTGAACCTCTAGGATAGGAAGCCACCCGACTTCTTGCCTTGAGTTCAAGAGGGCCTCTCTTTTTTCCACCTTTCTCCACAGGAGATTATATTACCAGCACGGACAGAATTAATCAGAAGGGGTCCTCTGTCCACTTGCTAAGTGACTTCAACTGGTCTCACACAATCACACTGACAAAATGTTACTATGGAAGGGACCTTAGGGGGTTACCTTATTACTGGGACATGTCCTGCTAGGACAGCCCATTGTTCCAGGGTAAGGTGCTGGGGGCACCCACCCCCCCCACGCACAGTTGTAGAGGAGGGAATCCTGAGGGTGAGGGAGTCCTGGGGATAACATTGCTTGTGCTTTTTCCTGCGTGTCATCATTCCCGTGCCTTGTTTCCAAAGCAAAACATCATCACCGGCCAGGGATGGATAGGTCCTGGGTCCTGTTTACATTTGTAAAAAGTTGGGAGAGTAAGCTGTGGGGAACAGCAGGCCTATTTGACTCATACTATTGATAAATTAGATCACGTGGGGGATTCTAACATTTCTCTTGTTAAGCTTTTGGGATATGACCAAAGCCGAAGAGTTCTGCATGTTAACTCCAATAGCGTATGGAAGCCCTGCTGTGGCCAGAAAGGGCAGGAGACCCTGAGGCCGAAGCAACCAGGCTTCTTCCTGGAGTTGACTATTTATCTGGCAGATGGCGTTGCCTCTTCCATCTTGGGCAAGTTCAGGTGTCTCTAAGCCCCCCCCCCCCCCCCAGGCTTTCACAGTGCATTTAATCAGAAGTGCTCTGAGTGTCTTCCTGAGACGCATGCTTCTGAGGGGGATACTTAATCCTACCCCGGAGTTCCGTGGGCCAACATTAACTTTGTGTCTGCACAAACAGAACCTTGGGCAAAGGTGAAGTAATTACCCACCTTCAGCAGGGGCCTCCTGGGGTGAAATGAAGGAAGCTAGAGGATTATTTTGAGCTGACAGTGTCTGTGCAAGGAGCCAGACCAAGGATTCTGTTAGCCCGAGGAGTCTCCCTATTGATTGAGTGCACTGGAGGCAGCTTGCCTCTCGTCAGCTTGTTTCCTGGGGAGATGATGGCCAAACACGTGTAGCTTCATCCCAGGGAGGAATAGGGTGAAGCTCAGGGGGAGGATGAGGCCAACTGCAAACTTGGGTTGGCATTTCCTGAAAGCAACCTGGGCATCCCTCTGCCCTTCTCTTGCCCTGTAGGAGCCTAGTCAATGGAACCTTTTTGGAAATCAAGGACCGGATGTTTTCCCATCTGCCTTCCCTGCAGCTGCTGTGAGTATGGAATATTCTCTGCAAAATGGGGTCCCCAAAGTGTGGTTCTTGAAGGGTGGTCTCGTCTTCCTGTAATACAACAGCTAGAGTCTCCCCTGCTGACTCCACATTGAACCACCATCCTGCTCCGCTTTCTCACCTGACTTTCCACCAACTTCTCCAGGCTTTGTGGTACATCCCACTCAGAGATCAGGCAACTAAGGGAGGCTGCATTGGCCATAACCAGAGTTTCACCTCAATGAATAGTTTCCCCAAACATCTCACCTCTAAGGAAATTTATCTTTGAAAACCTCGATAGAACTCTTTGAAGAGCATTTCCAGTTTGTCTCGCATACCTGCAGGCAGGCAGCATACTGGGCATTGCAGGTGTGCATGCTTCTACCTCACTGGCATGGCATCTCTTCGGGAAAGGTACTTTGGTTTTCCAGTCTGAGAGATGAAGAAATGGATGCTCAGAACATGGAAATACCTTGCCTTGATCCATGGAGTGAGGATCCAAGCGCGAAGCCCAAAGCTACATTTGCCCCGGCTCCTCTTAGTGAACCATGCCTAAGTCACCGTGACGAGTGCTAGAACATGAGGACCCTGTAACCCAAGTCAGTTGATGTTTGATAATGACAATAAATGTCCCCAAGTCACTTTTGAATGTAATTCCCTAGGCTGGGGGTGTGTGTATGGAGGGTATGTAGCTCAGTGGTAGAGCATTTGTCTACCATACAAAGTTCCATCCTTAGCATCACATAAACAAGACAGGAAATCAGCAGGCAGTTGTGAGTACATGACACAGATGCTCACCTATTTCTTGGACTCAATGAGCCTGTAACTACAGCAGGCAATGCGCTATAGAAAAAGACAGAGGGGCAAATCACTACCCATCCTTAGTAAATTGCCATTGATAGTTCTCTTCTTGGTGTGTTTTACACCTACTATTACATCAAACTCACCACTTAAAATCTCGGTTCATATGCCAACAAGGTGACTCCGTAGGCAAAGGTGTCTGCCGCCAAGCCTAATGACCTGAGTTTGATCCCTGGGTCCTGTATGGTGGAGGGGAAAAAGCGACTCCTCAGATTATCCTCTGACCTTACATATGTGTCGCGGCACATGTGTGCCTGCAGACATGCCGTACACCTATATAATAAATAAATACATAAACAAATCACAACTTTAACTCTCAATTCTTTTGGAATAGTATAGCCTACCTATTATTTGGCTAAATAAAATTAGGTGGTCTCTATAAATATTTATAAAAAGTATTTACCTGGCTACTCAAATAGAAAACTACATAGTGATAATCTTCTAGAGAGTTCTTAACCTTTTAAGAATGATTATTTCTGTTGAGAATGTCTAGCATGGTAGAATGGGTTTTTGCTTTTTTGTCCCCACTGTGTGACTTTGGTCAACCCTCTTGTCTTCTTTGGGCTCAAATTTCTCTAGAATACAATTGGATTAGATCCTCATACGTCTGTGATTCCACGGTTTCTTGTGCATCATGAAGAATTCATTGGCTATTCAGTTGTGCCTAGCAGAAAACTGTTTTTGAATAATGCTCACCAGTTCATATTTCCCAGGATTCAGTTTCCAAGATGGGGGCAGAAAGGTTGTACTGGAGATAGCAGAAAATTCAGAGAGCAAGGGATCCCTTCCTCACTGTCCCCCGTCACAATGGTGAGGACAGCTGGGAACCTAACGGGTTGTCCTTACGCTGAGAAGAGCCTTCATTTGCCCATGGATCAGCACCTAAGAAAAATGGCTTCGCCACACGACTTGCCCTTTTTGTCTCGACTAAAGCCTGTCTTGTTTTCAGACTGCTGAATTCTAACTCATTCACGGTGATCCGCGACGATGCCTTTGCTGGCCTCTTTCATCTTGAATACCTGTAAGTGTTGCTGAGAGTTTGGTACCTCCAAGGGCTTTCTGAGTTGTGTCCTGTGGAGGGGATGGGGTGCAGAAAGTGCCATTCTCTTGCCAGCACTGGCCTGTGAGTTGATTTTCTTCCCAGCGTGGGGGCAGGAGGAGGCTGGGGACAAAGCTCAGGAGGGAGGCGCTGGCTCATTCATTCTCGGCTGACATTTAATTTGTCATGTAGTAAGTACGGCTGGAAATTGTGTTGGGTATTTTTACCTCCATAACTAGGCATGGATTTGCTGATGGGCCAGAAATAGAGCTGGATGGTTCTCAGGGCTACTTATTTTTAAACAAAGTTTCCCTATTTGAGGGTAAACTGCCTGGTTTGTATCCAGCTGTCCCATATCCCGTTCGTTCTATCTCCTGTGAGTTCTGCTGAGGGTCTGATTAGATTTTCCTTTCCTTTACCTAAAAATGAAAACCCAAACCAAAGCATAAACAACAGAAAAACAGGAGAGGGGGTTATTCCCCCCTTCAGACACACGCTTCCCCTTCTAGCAGCGAACTTAGCTGTGGTTCTTATTTCAGCATTTGTCCCATTGGAGTCTTTCCCTTCCCCCTTAAGTTGTCCCAGCCTTGTGTTGGGCGAGTCTGTAATAATGCTAATCCTGCTATCAGTTGGGATTTCCTTGTTTAGCATTCAAAGGATTTGCAAAACCTGCTGTCTTATCTGAGGTGAACAGGTAGACGTTGACATTCTAGACACGTCCCAGGTAGGAAGAGCTCTCTGCTGATGTGAAGTCTCCGGGAACAAGGTCTCACCAGGAATTCTTTCTCCAGAGAACCCGCTCATAATCCAGTATTTTGGCATGTATTTGATGTGGAAAGAGTGTCGCAGCTGAAGGGGTGAAGCCCCGGGGTCTGCCAAAAATCCATGGATAGCTGTGGGGTACCTGGGAATTTTTGTGGTGGGGGGGTTCATGTGCCACCCAGGGCTTCAGGGAGAAAGTTAGCTTCTCGGGAATGCTAAAGTCTAGTGCTGAACAGACATCAGAGTTTTTAAAAAACAGGCATCGGAGAGTTCTCTCTGGGAGAATTAACTTGTCAGTTGTGCCGCAGACGTGGCAAAGCCTTCCCCTTGGACCATCTCGTCAACGACCTGCTAGCATTTGACTTAGCCTTTTGGCCCCTGGGAACAGCCGCAGTGTATTCTTGTCGTATCCCGAGTGTCATCGTCCCCGCGCAAGCCCTGTACCATCTCAGCTCAAAGAAAGTCAGCACGGCTCCCTGTACTGTCCTTTCTGCTTTCTAGCATCGGTCAGAGCTCGGGAACATCCCTGCCTTGTCACCGTTTGCCTAGGGATGAGGCTGTGTAGGACAGGGTGAGCTCAAGCTTGCTGGAAACCATGTGTAATGGAACTCTTCCTGGTGAAAACTAAAATGCAGAGATGTAAAACAATGGGGCTCCTTCTAGGGACTAGGGTATTAGCAAAAGTATATGGTTAGCCGGGCACAGGGCAATGTAAGAGGAGTGGGGAAAGTGCCTGGAAGCTTTCCAGTGTCGCAGAGATGGGAGACTTTCTGGCCTCTGTGCAGGTACATGCCTCTTCCTTCCTCACACCCAAGATGCTATCCGTTCTGGTGCCAGCTCTGAATTTGGAGACATCTATGCTGATCTGGAGGGAGTGGAGAAGCTGGCACGCATGTGTTCTTGTTCACACGGCCGGCTCCCTCATGGAGTTTAGCGCAGCTTGCTACTAACGTGGGAGTTTCTATACTTCTTGAGTGCTTTCCGATGTCACTGCCAAAGCACAGTAGGTCATCTGTTGGGGTTATTAAGGAGAGGGAATTTGGTTATATTATGTTGTTTCTCTCCTTAGGTTCATTGAAGGGAACAAAATAGAAACCATTTCGAGAAATGCCTTTCGGGGCCTCCGTGATCTGACTCACCTGTAAGTTCTCTGGGCTCTGTTCTGGGGGCATGACTCAGTCTGTAAAATGCTGGCCGTGCAAACGTGAGGCCCATGGTTGGATCCCCCTAGCCCATGGAAAAAGGCGGACATTATGGTGCATACTTGTTACCTCAGTGCTGGAGAAACAGAGGCAGGAGGATCCCTGGGGCTTGCTGACCAGCCAACCTCTCCTAAGCAGTGAACCCCAGGTCCCAGGGAGAAACTCTGTCTCAAAAAATAGGGTGGACGGCTCCTGTGGTCACATGTGCACACATGCATGTGCAAACACACACACACACACACACACACACACACACACACACACACGCACGCACACACGCTGTATTGGTTTCCCTTGATGTTTCCATATTTACAATATCTCTCAAAGGAAACCCATTTCCGGATCACCCAAGAGGTTCCTATGCTGTCAGACAACACTTACTGTGATGACCAACTGCACATTGGTCTCCGCCATCCTGTGTCACCGTGGGAACCCATGTGACTCCATGTGAAGGGAGAGCCCCTCAGTGCTGTGAGGGTCTTGTGATCATGGAGGAAGTGGGATGGAGGCAAGGTTCTTATACTCATTTGGTGCAAGGTGCCAGGTGCCCTTCTCTGTGTTTTATGATCTTCTCTGTGTTTTATGATCATCTGTGAGTTCCTATTCTGCAGAATTGGGAGCTGAGACTTACGTTACTCGGCGAAGGACATCAGATAGAGGGTAAAGTGGCACAGAGTCATCAAGTGCCCTCCCATTAGATGAAAGTTGTTTTTTCTGTTACGTTAGGTTGATCTGTAGTTTCAGCTAAGATCTCTGATTCGTTACTGGCTTGCCAGAGACCAAAGCGGGAAAAAGAATTGATCTGAATTGATCTGCATATCGGAATGAAACAAGCACACACACTTCGAAAAATGAATAAGATTGGAAAAAAAGAATGGCTATGTTTGTGAAAATGTAAAACCGGACATTGTCATGTAGGAGTCATTTAGTAGCCGAGACTTGGGCTCCATTTGCATAGTAGAAGGATTTTGTCTGAGGAAGATGATGGGTCCTATATCCATAGTCATCCGCCTGTGATTAAAAAGACAGCTGAGGAAACTGGAGGGCGCTGCCTCTGGCTGCTGGGCAGGGATGGTGGCGCCTTTGAGTGTCACCCTGACCATACTGTAGGGACGTGGTCACTTAAGAGTCTTCCCATTTAGCCACACTGATTTTGGTGAAGGCATCTGCCAGTGGGCCCAGTGAACCTGGGTTCTGGGGCCACCAAGCAGAAGCCCTACCTGAGCTGAAGGCTGGAGAGGTAGGGGAGAGGGAGCAGCCAGGAGAAATTGAAGCTTTCTTGACAACACAGTGCATGGAGGAGGATTGTGTTCTGCTGTGTTCTAGGGTTTCTGTCTTTCTTTGGAAGTGCAGGCATCTCTCAGAGTCAAGCTGTAGGCCAGAGCCCTTACTGCTCATGGACTGAGGTTTCAGGCTTGGGTTCAAAACTCCAGGTCATCACTTACTGATATTACCTGGCTTTTCCGACCCTTAGTTTCCTCATTCTTGAGATAATGATGATTATACTGACTGTTGATGGCTGATATACATAATAGGTTTATGATGTTTGGCTGTAAAAACAGAAGCCCCATTCCCCCCAGTAAATGCCAAGGATATGACTGGCATCATCATCATCATCATCACCATCACCATCCTCACCATCCTCACCATCATCATCACCATCATCATCATCATCATCACCATCATCATCATCATCACCATCACCATCATCATCATCATCATCACCATCATCATCATCATCATCACCATCATCGTCATCCTCACCATCCTCACCATAACCATCACCACCACCATCACCATCATCATCATCGTCATCATCATTTTCCTCTTCCTCCTCAATGACAATACCAATTCCATCCTTCCAGTCCAAAAAAATCTTGGCTTTCTCTCTGGATTGATAAATTTTCTTGGCCAGTTGAGTATCCAGACAGAAACTGCCGAAAGGATAGGTATGGCTGTCTGGCAAGGAACAGCTGGAGCAGATAAATGTGGATCCCAAAAGTTGGGAAGGACGGCCATTGATATTAGGCACAGGCTACAGGCAGAGCTCACACATTGCTTTATAGAGGGAACTTCCTTTATCTTGCCTTTAAACGTCACACACAGAGAAAGCTTCAGCTCCAAACTTCACTCACTTCCTTAGGGAAGTCACTACCCCAAGTCTTCTCATTTAAACGAGATGTTTGGTGTTGGCCTTTTATGAACTTTCCAGACATTTGAATACTCGCGTTCATATTAAAACAAGAGCCGGGTTCCAAAGCATAGAGGGAGCAGTGCCAATCTGTAACTAAAATCCAGGACATTTGTTTTCCAGCGGTCTTATAGAACCCAGGGGACGGTAAGCTATTAAATAGTTTGAGAAATGAAGTAAGTGCTATGTGTTCGTAGACTAAATGAAACTGAACGGAGGATGTTAATGTTAACCTCTCAGCATGGGCAGAGTAGAATATAGGGCTGACTTCTAAAACCTAAATTGCAACCTTGGAACAGTTGCTAGATATTCTTGTTTGTTTTCTCGCTTGCTTTGGTCATGTCGTTTCTAATTTTATTATTACCACTTCAGTGCGATAGCTTCCAGGTAACCACAGTTTTAGCTGAATCATTAACTGATATTTAGATAAAGTGGGTTTTTTTTTTGCTTTGCTTTCCATATCAAAACAAACACCCCACCCTTTCTAAAGTTTGCAAAAGTTACCCCAGTGTATGGTCAGTGTGATTACATAATCAGCTTATTTCCCAACACATCAAAAACTGTGCAAGTACCTCATCAAGAAAGGCAAGGTAAAACAGCACATGAAACGGTATTCTGATCCATGTATGGCTGCCTGAGTGGGAAGAGGAATAATTAGGAACCGTTGGCCTCCCATTCTCAGTCGGTATTTGAAGGAAGAATATTCGGAGTAAAAAGGAGCTTAAACTTTCTACTACACCCCGCTGACTGGTAGAAGAAGTGCTCGTTTATTTACCAATCATTCCGGGATGGGCCATGACCGTGCTATGACCAGGAATGACTCACTGTTTTATAAACTACCTGCATGTTTATCGTTTAAACATGTTGCTGTTTATACTCACGAGTAGAAGAAAACTCTAGAAGAAAGTATCCATTTCTCTACCAATTTGCATTCCTGTGTGGTGTCTGGGGAAAGCATAGACTTGATGTACATTGTTTCCATACTCAACATCTTCCCTCAAGGACACGGCACTGTGGGCATCCATCCTCGGCTGACTGGCGGCAGGGCACTACAGAATCCTGAATCAACAGGAGCTGGTTCTCTTCCTAATAGTTGCTGTAGCTGGGGGTGGGTGTGGGCTGGCGGCTCAGTAACCTCTTCAACACTAAGGAGGAACAGGGAATTGATTTCTCATCAGCCTTGGTTGATGAGAAGATGAAGCTGCTCACAGCCAGTTATTCACGAAACATGCGGCTTCCCCGAGATCTTACGCTATTCTAGCGTGTTAGTGTGGAGTGTCTTCATGGGAAAGAGTGTTTGCTGCGTCCATTTGAGAAACACAGATGACCAAGTATGCTTTGATGACCGTAAGAGAACTTCTTAGGTAAAGCTCGTACATCTTCCATTGTTAGTCTCCTACTGATGCTTCATTCATTCCCACAGTAGCACATCTGTCTTTACCAGCCAAGTTTCCCAGCTTGCTGAGCTCAAGGCACTGTCCAGGGGGTGAGGGAAAACCATGGACAGACAGCAGTCTCTGTTGCTTTTGTGTCGGGAAGGTACCCAGTCAAGAAGCAAACAAATAATTAAAAATAATGACCGTCTTCCAGTGGAGTCCAAGGAACCATGACAGAGTTATGGCTGGGTTGGAGTAGTGGGTAGTGGAGTCTCACCTAATGGGGGAGGTTCCTAAACTATAGAGAGGTCTACATACCTTGAAATGAAACCTTGGCATTTCTCCCCTTCCCCCCCTCCCTTTTTTCAAGACAGGATCTCACTGTCTAGGACTGGCTGGCCTGAAACTCACTATAGACACTAGGCTGGCCTCAAGCTCACAGAGATCCACCTGCCTCTGCCTCCCAAGGGTTGGAATTAAAGGTATTTTGTTGCTCCGCGAGGCCTAGGACTTTGGCTTTTATTCCAAGAACCAGAGAAGCCTTCTGTAGTTTAATAGCTTTGCATAGAGCTTAATAAAGTGCTCATAAATAAATAAATAAACCTAAAAAAAAGAGGTTACATTAGAATCCAATTGTCTGGTGTAATGGAACTTGTATCTTTCTCTGGGTGTTGATCAAAGCCATGAATTGCACCATGTTTTGATGCAGAGCCTCAGAGCTCTCCATGAATCATTAGATGTTCTTAAAGGGACTTCAGAATGACTGGCAGGAAAGTGGTAACCACTTTAAAATGTGACTTTCTTTTTCTAGTTCTTTGGCCAACAACCACATCAAAGCACTTCCAAGGGACGTCTTTAGTGATCTCGATTCTCTGATTGAACTGTAAGTCATGCAGATTAGGTTTGTGTATACTGGTTCCAGGCCCTAGTCAATTGTCTTTCAGATCCCTTTGCTCTTGACTAAGTAATACTCTCACAGAGTAGCGCCCACGGAGGAACAGCATATGTATTGCCTTGTGTTGAATCCAGCCATTAGCTACCGTGCCCTGTGTCCGATGGTAAGTTAGGCTTGCTGGATATGTGGTCCCCGAGCAGTCTTTCCATCTGCTTTGCCTTCTCAAGTTTCACTAGAAGCCTTGTGACTGTAGCACTTTGTTCCGGATTCTGTTTGATAAGACCTGGAATGATCCAGTTTTGTTTATGAACACTGTCTTCCTATTACCTCCTGTTTTTGTCTATGGGAACCTATATTGGGACCTTCTCCCATCCCTTCCAACCTCCACCATTGCACTGAGATAATTTTAAGAGGGATGCTGTCTCATCTTTGAGAACCGTCTGTATGCCGTTCCATTCAAATCGCGCAGCAAGGAACACTCAATAAAGATAACAATAAATACAAGAAATAAGATGCATGAAACACAGTAATTTTAAAGAAATTCCGTAATTGGATTGTTTTAGATGTATCAGGCTTTGAAAACCCCCACCGTTTCATGTTACCACCAAAACACATCAAACGCGTCTGCTTCCTCGTGTGTGTATTTGTGCTTTGTATTCCAGAGATTTAAGGGGTAATAAGTTTGAATGTGACTGCAAAGCCAAATGGTTGTATCTATGGCTGAAGATGACGAATTCCACTGTGTCTGATGTGCTGTGCATCGGGCCACCAGAGTACCAGGAGAAGAAGCTCAACGATGTGACCAGCTTCGACTATGAGTGCACCACCACAGGTAGGCAGAGCCTGTCTCCTCAGAGATGGACACGCAGAATAATTCTTTCTTTTCCTTCTGGACTGCCACCTGCGTGTGAGGGAAAGTGAAGGGAGATGTTTCTGATCGAAGTCATTTTAGAGAAACGAACCAGGGCTGGCCAAGTGGCTTATTGTGTAAATGTGCTTGTGCCAAGTTTGGTGACCTGAGTTCACTGCCTGGGACCTATGTGCTTGAAGGAGAGAACTGATTGCTACCAACTGTCTTCTGGCCTACACACACACACACACACACACACACACGCACACACACGCAAAATAAATCATCAATTTGGTTGGGAAAATATCTCAACAGATAGGAAGGATTTTGTTAGCCACCCTGGCTCTAATCTTAATTTCTTTTTTTTCTTCATCCCCTCCCCCCCCCTTTTGAGATGAGGTGTTGCTATGTAGCTCAGGCTGGCCTAATTCTTGTCACATTGAGCAGGCTGGCCTTGAATTTGAAGCGATTGTTTTGCTTCAACTTCCCAAAGGCTAGCTATTACAGGTAATTTTTTTTTTTTTTGCCAAGCCTGTTTTAATTTTGATTCTCTGCAAAATCCAAATCCTCCAATTGTATTATTGTTTCTTCCCTCTAATTGTGTGTGCATATTCATGTATGTGCATGCGTGGGTGTGTGGATGCCAGAGATGGAATTGGGGTACCATTCCTCGGGATTGCTTTTTGAGGCAGTATCTCTCATGGTCTGAAACTTGCTGATTCAGCTGGACTGGATAGCCAGTGAGCCCCACAGTCTAGCTGGCTCTGTCTCTCCAGCACCGAGCTTACAGTGCGCCTCACCATGTCCAGCTTTTTTACGTAGGTTCCGGGGAAGAAAACTTTAGTCTTCATATGCAGACACTACTTTTCTGACTGAGCTAGCTCCCCAGCTTGCCTATCTGTCTGTCTTTCTTTGAAGATTGAAATACAGACTTAAGAATTTGACTTGCCTTCCATGGAAAGACAGACACAGAGAAGTCTGGATATTTTTACTGTCACTGGCTTCCCGCCTCCCAGTAAGATAATACTTATTATAAGTTTAATATCAGATTCTTGTATCTCTAAGTTATTTTCCATTTCAAGTAGGCTGAGATAAGTAGGGAAATTATAGCCTGTGGCAGAGTAGACTGTGTAAGCTGGCGAGTGCTTGCTAAAGGAAAACATTCACATCGAGGGGAACTGCAAAGGTAGATTTTGACTTTGTTTTTTTCAGAGCCCACCTCGGGGTTTCCATTTCCACATATTTAGAGGTTATGGAATAAAATTAAAATGCCGACTCCCTCCAGGTCCCCGCAGGTAAAGGGCAGGGGATGCCTCCGTTTGAAAGGTTCAGGCAGGCTTCTGCGGCTTCTGAAGACGGATTTTCAAGGCGAGAGGATCAACCCACAGTGTGCAGCCTGCTTCCTAGATGTTGGTGGGAATAAACCACGAGGCTAGGAGTAGTTATCTACAAAGCCTGAGGCATGTCAAGAGGAGCAGTGGGGAGGAGGGCTCAGAGTACAGCTAAGAAACCCTGAAGATGGGGACTATCCCAAGAACAAAGTATCGTATTTAGAAAAATCTACTGCTCCCTTCCAAACAAGCCAAAACCCACCACGTAGAAATGAATTCCAGGTGTTTGTGTATATGTGCACATGTGTGTCAGCAACTAGAGGAACCCACAAGTTCTGCTCTTTTATGGGACACTGGAAATTTCAAGCAAGTAACCTTTTCTGCACCACAGAGCTGGGCTGTGTTCAGCTGTGTGATTGGCAGGTACCCGTTATTCAGCCTAGCCACTAAGATGTTATTTATTGTGCTATCTGGGCAGTGCAATAAATCAGAGGTCATGGTCGGTGGCGTTTGTACAAAAAGGTGTCATTTAAGACCTTTTGGCATTAAGTGCTATACTATAGCTTTCTGAGCCTCCTCTTGGCTTTTCCTTCAGTTCTTTTCTGGAGAATTCTCTAAATGATGGCATTTCCCATCATTCTGTTCACACCTGGTCACAGTGTCCGTATTGGAGAAGATGACACAGGCTTTTGTTGCTGTTCTGGGAACAGAGCATCATTTATATAAGAAAATAGGATTTCTGACCTCAGGGCCTTCTGGGTGGTTCTTATTGTGTTCTGGGACTGAACATTTTCATTGGGAAGGAGACTGTTTAGAACTGGAGCAGCCAGGACCTGAGTCCCAGAATTTCTGGGGACAATGTGCGTCCTCTCAAACATTTGAGCCATCTCTTGGGTTTATTTGTTTTTGCTAACAAGGTTCCCACTCCTTGGCAAAGTCCACATAGAACTTTCAGGTAAGCAGTGACTGACTGTTCTGTTTCTGTTGCCTTGAGGCTCATGGACATGCTAGCTGCGCTCCAAGATTTTTCTTTTTCAGGGTGATGATACAACAAGGCGTCCTGTCCCCAGACGCTGCCCTTGCCATATAAGTGTGTGGTCAATAAATTGTGAGGGTATTGACATTCCTGTCTTCTGTTCATCTTAAGTCCTGGCTTCTGAGGTTTTACCAAAGGCCAGGGAAAGTATGTGTGAGAGGGTGCCTGGAGGGTGGAGAGCCAGACTCACTGAGGGAGCTCGGGTCACTTTATGGCTTCCTTTTATCTGATCGCTCCCAATTTGGCCCCAGAGAGGAAGGCCATTGCTACCACACTGTTCCTCCACAGAGGGGAGTAATGAGCGTGTAGCCACCACTAAGCTGTCTCAGCTCTTCAGATTAATCACAATCCTTCCACACCCTCCCCTTCAAGGCTATTTTTAACCAGGCAGAGATTCCTGTTACCCACCGATGATCCCATGTTAGGGGGATAATTCACTAAATTCCTTAGAGGGAGTGAGTTTTGCATCCTAATTGTCCTGTTAGCCTCCTTTGTTCAGGCTGATGAAAATGCAAAGAGAAATAATGCATTAATGCGCACTCTCTCTCCCCATAGGCTCTGCACTATGTATAATTTATTTTCTGCAAGTTCTATAAATAGCTCTGTAAAAATCCGTGGACTCCAGTGGGAGAAAGGCCGAAATTGTAAGAGACCCACTGACATCATAAACTTGATCTGATGTGAATGGAAGCCGCGGCTCTCAGGGTGGAACGCGCTATTAATCTTTTAACACTAGGAAATTGGTATCACTTCGATATGTGTGTCCTTTGAGGTTTCTTTACAATGACCGCGCCTTTGGCTTTGTGGAAGTCGGGTTCAGATGTGGGTAGGAAAAGGTATTTAAATTTGTCTAGTGCCTTTCTTCAGAACGTCTAGACACCTGTCTCAGTCACTGTCCCTGAGCCTTCCTTCCTTTTCCTTTGATGCTGGCAGTAGAGCTGTCTTCTACGAAGGATTTGTCATTTATGTGATTAACAGTCTGTGCCATGCCAGATAGGAAATATCATGAAACGATGAATTTAATTTGAAAAAAATGTAATAGGTCCATGGAAGCTTGATTTGTGTAAGTTCTGAATCCAGGTAGAACTATTTCAGACAAAACTGTCTTTTGATTTTGAATTGTGTGTATGCCTATGGATTTGTGCATGCTTGGTGCCCGTGGAGGGCCGAAGAGGGTGTGCTAGCTCTTGGAGCTGGAGTTACTGACAATTGTGAGCCATCGGACATGGCTGCTGGGAATTGAACTTGGGTTCTCTGCAAGAGCTGCAAGTCCTCTTAAGCACTGAACCATCTCTCCAGCCCCCAGTCTGGTAGATCTTTTCTGTTGCAGGATTCCTCAGTAAAGGGGGAAACCTTTTATTCTTTTGTAAAACACACACATTCTGACTCAGGGGCTTACATTTCTGAGACTTGGGAGCACAGGTGGGAGAGAAATGGGAGCTAGCCTCTACCTCCTGAGGACTAGGATTAAGCATATGTGCCACATGCCCCCGTGTGTGTGTGTGTGTGTGTGTGTGTGTGTATGCTATGCTCACTCCGTGGGCAACCCCCCTCTGCCCCTTGGCAATTCTGTACCATACCCAAAGTTCCACAGAGAGTTAGTGGTCATTTATGGACTCAGCGTGGCGGAAGACCACTCAATCCTCAGGAGACAGAAGAGGACCCATGACACTGTGCTGCACGCGTTCCTGCAGCATTCTTTGCCTGCTTGTTGCTCTGTCTTGATGCCTAGACCCTAGGCACAGCACACCAAGTCCAATGTCCAGGCAGCTCGTTTCCTCAGGGGTCGTCCCTGCCGAAGATTCCCAGACATATGCATACCCTGTTTGGAAGTGTAGTACTCACTACGGCCTGGAGAGGCGCTGTTTCCCCATAGGGGTTGTAGAATTGAATGTAAATGACAAGTGACCACAGGATCCCTGTTTCTTGTGAGTTTGAGAAGTGTAGCCATATTAAGCCAACGTCTTTCCCGGAGGGGGTTGCTCTGAGAGAGCTAGAAGTGTAGCATTCTCAGAACTTCCTAGAACACAGCATGCCACTTCATGAATTTCCTGCAGCCTTCATCCTGCCCTGGCTTTCTGAAAGCCAGGTCTCCCAGATCCACTTAGACAGTTGAGATCTTGTTAGTAACTTGTGACACTGTCTCCAGGAAGCAGTATCAAAAATTTCACTGGTGGGACTGGAGAAATAGCTCAGAGGTTAAGAGCAGTGACTGCTCTTTCAAAGGTCCTGGGTTCATTTCCCAGCAACCATATGGTGGCTCACAACCATCTATGAGATCCGATAGCCTTTTCTAACATATGTGATAAATAAATAATTTTTTTTTAAAAAAGAAAGTATATAAAAAAAACTCCACTGACCTGACAGTCCCATTTTGCAGAATCTCCAGAGCCAAGAGTTCCACAGGCCAGTGTGGAGTGGACTGGCCCCACCTTCCCTGCTCCTCCCCAGGTACCTATGCTGATGATGCAAAGCCAGAGAACCGCAATTAGGATTCTCACAGGGTTTGTATGAACTGATATTTGTTTTTCTACCCCTCCCCCCCCAGACTTCGTCGTTCATCAGACTCTGCCCTACCAGTCCGTGTCAGTAGACACGTTCAACTCCAAGAATGACGTATACGTGGCCATCGCTCAGCCCAGCATGGAGAACTGCATGGTCTTGGAGTGGGACCACATAGAAATGAATTTCCGGAGTTATGACAATATCACAGGTGTGTTGTGGAAAGAGACACCCCCTGTTATAACCACGGGAAGGCTTGAGGCCTTGCCTCCAGGAGAGGCGGGGACCGCATTCCAGCCCACACTGATGGTCACTCTGAAGTGTTCTCCATACGGTCAGATATTGGTGATAACAGAACTTCAGGTAGTGATTTCACACTGGTGGTGATCCTTTTGGGAAAGAGGAGATGGGTGGGTGGGGGGGAACTCCACGAGAAAGGTGAAAAGCATCTTCCTTCTATGATAAGAAGTCATGTGGGAATCCCATGGTTCCGCATAGCTAAGGCAGCCTGCCTACCAGAACTAAATCATAGTTTTATTTTTATTAAGCTGATTACTAACTAATGTACTAACACACACACATACACACACCCATTGCTTGTTCCCTTGCTGGGTCACACACACACACACACACACACACACACACACAAACACACACACACACACTGCTTGCTCCCTTGCTGGGTCTGGATGCTCACTGCTCACACTTACTAAAAGCATAGCAATGAGAATGGACCGATCATAAATTCAGGCCTTTGGCTTCTCTCGGTGCTGCTGCTGTGGGTTCCCAGGGTTTTAGTGATACTAAAAATGAACTATCTGCTTGCTCTTTAAGTAAATGGATAAAAATAAGATCATAACAATTCTTCAATCTTCTCAGCTTTTTGAGTGTAACTGATACTGGCTGTAGAAACAGCCCTCTGGAAGCCTGGTCACTGTCCTCTGGAGATTCCCTTCCCAGGCTCCAGGGGGCATTGAACTGTTTCTCTGGAGTGCACCGTGGTAGAAACTCTGGATTGGGAAGATCCTAGGCGTTTCTCAGGCACGCGTGGCTACACAGCAAATGCAGGGACATACGTAGTCAGAAGCAGTGGCATTTCACTCCTGGGGGACCAGCTACTAATGAGTCTAATCATGAGTGCTGATGTCCGGGAGATGTCATCTCAGATGAGCTAGCTGCTGCTGCCACAGCCAGCTGGCCTTCCAGTGTGGCGCTTACTGTCTAGGGAGCAGGGCCTGGAAACACAGACTCAGCGCAGATTTGTGTGGAGAGCCTTGGATGGAAGAACCTGATATCCTGGGGGACAGTTAGCTGTATGGTTTCGGGCTTGGAGCCTGGTGTGGGCTGGCTTCTCCCTGGGTGTCAGTACAGTTGGCACAGCTTTGCAAGTGACCTACTCTATTTATTTGGGGACAGAACCTATCTCTGTGTCCCTGTCCCAGGTATGGGGTGGCACCGTTGTCTCCCTGCCCTTGCCACTCACTGCAGCTGGCAATAGAGGGCAAACTGGGGTCCTCCTTAGGGTTCTTAGTCTCACCAATACAAGGTTTTAAGAATAAGCTCAAATGTAACCACGAAGGCAGTTTTCTTAGTATTAAAAGGAAAAGTGCAAGGCGTAGAAACACCAAATCTCAGCAGCTGCCTGGAAAGGGGTGGTGGAGGAGAGAAGGAAAAAGCCATGCGTTGAAGCTGGCACAGTCAGACACAGACGAAGAAGCAGCCCCATGGTGGAGAGGAGAGCTTCAGAGAGAGTGAGGAAGCAGGGAGAAGCCCGAAGTGTTAAGGGAAGCAGACTTAGAAAAGAGATTAAAAAGGGAAGTTAGGCATTTATCTGAATAATTCAGAGAATCAGTCAGACTTACGAACCTGCTTGGCTGTGGTCCGGGTCTGTAAGCTTCTGCACTAAAGGTGAGGATTCTGGGAAGGAAAAATCTCATTAAAGGACTAATTACTCCATCTAACTCTTTAGCATGGCTTAAGCTGAGCCTTCCTCCCTAGAGGTGCTCCCTAGTCAAGGTGACTGATCTAGCTGGAATGGTATCCATCTTGCCCAGAGACTCTATTTTCTTGGTCAGGAACTCTACCCCTGGTGGCGACTTCAAACCCTTCCTCCTTCCTGCATTCACTCATTCACTCATTGATAAAGATTTCGTGGGCACTTCCTCTGAGCCAGCTGTGTTCTTTTGGGTGGGCACATAGTATTTGGGCAAGCGCATTAATGTTCATATGCTTCTGTCATCTGCAATGGGAATTTTGTGGCTTTTTTAAAAATGGATTAGTGTAGTATTGGACTTGGCAATCTAGTGGGGATGTAATGGGTAACCTGTGTAGTGAGCAGAACCTGAGGACAATGGGACCCACTCTATTCCATCAGAGACCCCAACTTTCTGGCTTCAGCTAAGACTTCTAAGACTTGTGTAGGCACAGGGAACCTCAGAACTTGCAGAGACTGCCTGAGAGTTCAGGCAGGGGAGCGTTTGTCTGTCTCTTGGTCACTGAGGTTTGAGTTGGTATGAAAGTCTTCTGGTGTGGTGGAAAAGCAAAGCCACATATGGGGCCATTAGCCACCAACAAGAGTAAGGGAGGGAGCGTGGATAGTTCTCACCTCCTTGGGCTGGGCCTGCCTCATTCAGCATTCTACTTTGTCATGGAGAGACTCTGAAGTCAGCAGAAGCTTCTCAGTGTGTTCTCAGTCTATGCCTTTTAGATGGCGTCTCTGAGGAATCAGAGAGGCACCCATTTCTCTGCTGCGGCTCTGGTCAGATGTCTCCAGGTGAGGAACCCAGTGGCTATGTTCACACCGACATCTGTGGCTTCCTCTCTGTCTTCTTCTCTTATTCACTCTTGCTTTTTGTATTTTTCTTTTTTTGGGGGGATTTCTGCATGTTCCAGCCTGTAATCTTTGCAGACAGACAGGCAAACAGATGAGGCACACACACACAATCTTTCTTGCTGCTGACATACCTACAGGCTCAGTTGGTAGAGCACGAGACTTAATCTTAGGGTTGTGGGTTTGAGCCCCCTGTTGTGCATCATTTGTAGACAGAAGTTTCTGTCCTGCCTGGTCCCACAGCAGTTCAGTTCCAAACAAACACACAAAGACATATTAATTATATGTTGTTTGTCCTATTGCTCAGGCTTATTACAACTTAAATTAACTCATAATTCTTATATACCTTTTCTCAGTAAGGCATTCTCATCTTGCTTTCTCTGCATCTGGCTTGCGACTGTCCTTCCTCTTTCTATAATTCTCCTAGTCTGTTCACTCTGCCTATACTTCCTGCCTGGCTACTGGCCAATCAGCATATGTTCTTCCTTGACAGTGGGATTGAAGTCGTTCTTTAAAAGAGACAGACTTCTAAGTACACCCCCAGGCATAAGGACCTCTATAGTCTTCCCCTCCTGGCATAGGTACCTCTGCAGTCCCCCCACCCAGAGGGACAACAAGCTTGAATTAGAAATTGCTGTCTGTAGGGTGGGAGTTCTTGAGTACTTTGGCAGTTTATACCCTAAAGCCTTACAAAAGATACCAAACACTTATTCTAGCAGATTATTACAGCTGAGAACAGTACCAGATGGTATCAAAGCATGTTTACTTAACAATATGTGAAGGGAAACATGTCATTTATCAATAATGAAAAACAAGAAAGAACTGCTATGTCCAACAGCAGAGGATTAGTTGAATAGGATGGGGTGCATTCATGCCATGTAATATTGTATAGTATTGTGGTTTTTCCTTTTTAGTTTTATTAAACTTTATTTCTATGCATGTTTTGCCTCCTTATATATATGTGCACCACTTGCATTCCTGGTGATCAAAAATCTCAGAAGTTGGCATGGGATCGCTTGGAACTCAAGTTCCAGATGACTGCCATGCGGGTGCTTGGAACCAAACCTGGGTTTTCTGGAAAAGCATCAAGTGATCTTAAACTCCAAGCCATCTCTCCAGCCCCATTGTATAGTATTTTTTTTTTAAATTTAGTTGTAGAAGATGACTGATAACATAGGGATTCAGTGAAAAAATAGATTCTAGGGGTGGAGAGACTGCCCAGTTGTGAATGTTTTGATCCTCAAACCAGTGTTTGATCCTCAGAACTCACACTGGAAAAAAAAAGATGCGTCTCCTGCTTATAGTGTCACACTGAGGAGGCGGACAGGTGGATGCCTGGGACTTACAATGAGAAATGATACCGAGACCAGTATTCTGGTCTCTGGATGTATATGATCATATGTGCACACATGTGCATACATACAAAAGTAGGCTTTAAAAAGCATGTATAGAATACAAGCCCCAATGTTTTAAAGGAAGCATATATAGCTATATATATATGTGTGTGTATATATATAGACATTGATAAAATAAATCAAAGATGAAAGAAGTATGTTAAGGGTTTTTTGGTTGCATCATAAGTAGATTTTATTTGTGTGCATGTGTCTTTTGGCACTTTGGTGATGGAGTAAGGTAACCTAGATTAAAACCCAGGTACTACTACATACTGGCTGTGTGACTTTACATGAATCGCTGAACCCTTCTGTGCCGCGTTGTAAAAATGGACATGCTGGTAAGAGTCGTAGCTGTCTCCAGTGGTGACTGGAAAGAATGAGTAGATGTGCAAAGGTGCTCAGGGTGGTGTCTGGTGACAAGAGTCCACTTTCTAGGTTTTACCTGTCATTTTTATCACATTTGGTGAACAAGCACTCAGAAAAACAATTTAGACAAAGGCAAAGGGCCAGGTTCTAGGAAGTCCAATGAAAGAGAAAGTACCTCTCCGAAAGCCACCGATTCCCTTTGCCCCCTAAGCTAATCTGCAGGACAGAAATTGGATTGTTAGCCTTGTAATTTACAGACCAAATTCACTTTGGTCATATTACCGAGCGAGTTAAAAGAAAGACGAAACTTGTAATGATCTCGAGGGAGGGATGGTGATCTTTGAGATATGAGTGGTCCTCTAGCTAAGATTAAGAGGGTGGTCTTCTTCAGCGGGGGATGGGAGTCGATTGTAGAGAGCATGCCAATGGTGACCCAGAGCTGAGCGGGAACAGGGTTCCTTGTGACGCCTGAGCTGGGTCTCAGATCACTATCCCACAGGCATTTTTGAACTGTGGGCGAGCGTTAAGGGGGCGGGGGCCGTCTTGTGATTGCCAGGACAGCTGCTTCACTTATCCTGCAGTGACACTCCTGTGTGCCTGCACCATGCATTCAGAGTTCTGCTCTGAACAGTCTTGCACACTCTTTGACTTCTCCAGAGACCCCGGGGACCATGGAGATACCCAGTGCAAAACTCACCATCCTGACTACTTCTTATGTACTGTGCTGTGGGGTTAGGTCCACTGGTGTTGTGTGTGACCAATCTTCACGTCTCTTTCATAATGTATCTAGTAAACTGCACCCCCTCCCCAGTCCTTTATGTCCAGTCTTTGTCCTTGGGACCCCTCCTGCAGGTAGGCTGACAGCTTTGTCCTTTCAGGGCTGGCTTCATTCATTTAGTGGAATGTCGTCTAGGCTGGACCATATTGCAGTATGCAGTAGACTTTCCTTCCTTTTGGAGACTGAAGACTATTCCTGGTGCTCTTGGACCACAGCTGGTTTATCTGTCTGTGGGAGCATGGATTGCATCCATCTTCCTGCTGTTGTGTGTAACAATGCTTTCAATACGACTGTCTTGGTTCGTTTTGGTGCTGTTATTATTTATAGGAAGGCTTATAAACAACAGAAATTTCTTTTTCAAGTTCTGGAGTCTGAGCTATCTAAGTTCAAGATAATGGCAGATTTAATGTCTGGTGCAACATCATCTCATAGCTGTGTATGTGTGTGTGGTGTATGTATATAGTGTGATGTGTGTGTGGTGTATGCATATGGTGTGTGTGCGGTGTATGTGGGGTGTATGTGTTTGTGATGTGTGTGGTGTGTGTCTGTAGTATGTGTGGGTGTGTCTGTGGTATGTGTGTGGTGTATGTGGAGTGTGTGCGTGTCTGTGGTGTGTGTGGTATGTGTATGTGGTGTGTGAATTTGTGTGTGTGGTATGTGTGTGTCATGCGTGTATGTTGTGTGTGTCATTTGTATGTGTTGTGTGTGTGGTGTGGTATGTTTGTGTATGTGTTGTATGTGTGTGTGGTGTGGTATGTTTGTGTGTGTGGTGTGTGTGTGTGTGTGCCGGCACATGTACCACATTATATCAGTGGAAGTCAGAAGACAACCCTGGGTATCCTTTCTGGTCTTTCCTGCACTCCATCTTGTCTGAGATGGATTCTTGTTGTTTGTCTGCACCAAGCTAACCTCTTTGTCTCTTCCTCCACCACGTAGACTTCTCCTGTCTCCTCTTCTCATCTTGCTGTAGGAGCACAGGGATTCTAGGACCTGGGGATTTGACCTCAGATCCTAGTACTCACACCCAGAGCCATTTCCCTAGTCCTTCAGGTCCCCACACCCCTCCACAATCTCCTCATGGTGGAAGAGCAGGAGATCCCTAGGGTTTCTGGGGTAATTCTAGTCATGAGTGACCTAGTCTCCTCCCCAAGCCCTGCTTCCTGGTCCCATCCCCCAAGGTTGTTAGGGATAGAGAAGCCCTACTCCCTAATGGCCTCCAGCCCCCTGTCATGGCAACGCAGATTTCTGTGCTGCAGAGGGAGAGCTCACATAGGGGCACAGCTAGAGTGAGCAGGCTGCTGATGTTCAACAGGAGGATAAGTGAAAGAAAAGAGGTCCCTCTAGAAGGGAGGACAGACCCAGGCAAGCTGTGGCCACCAGCCACCCCACCTTCACATCTGGAATTCCAATTTTGACCCACTGCTTCTCCAGTTAGCCAGCCGTGGGGTGGTTTGGGGTGATCGCTTTTCCAGAACAGCTGAAGATTTTCTTGAAATCATTTTTACCTACAACTCAGTCTGTTGTCATTAAATGTCTTTGGTGCAAGAACGCATATAAAGGAGTAACTACCAATATAGTGAACAAGTTTAATAGGAGAAAGTACAATGGTGCATGTTCCCTGTCTTAGGGTCGGTATTGCTGTGATGAAACACCATGACCAAAGTAACTCGGGGAGGAAGGGGTTTATTCAGTTTATGCTTTCATATCACAATTTATCATCAAAGGAATTCAGGACAGGCACTAGCAGGGCAGAAACCCGGAGGCAGGAGCTGATGCAGAGGCCACAGAGGAGTGCTGCTTACTGGCTTGCTCCTCGCGGCTTGCTCAGCCTGCGAGAACCTAGACCACCTGCCCAGGGATGGCACCACCCACATTGGGCTGGGCCCTCCCCCATTGATCACTAATTAAGAAAATGCCCTACAATCTTGAGTACAGCCAGATCTTATGGAGGCATTTTCTTAATTGAGGTTCCTTTCTCTCTGATGACTCTAGCTTGTGCCAAGTTGACATAAAACCAGCCAGTGCGCTCCCCAAAGAGGGCTTCTGTGGGATTTGGCCAAGACTGGCTTTGATGGTTTTCCCAGAGCCCTGGATTTCCTCTTACATGGTCTGCTTGGCTATCTCAGACCCCCCATGCAAGCCCTCTTCTTTATCTTCCCCCATGTTCTGGTTGGTTTTTGTCAACTCGACTCAAACCTAAACGTATCCTGGAAGAAGAGGGAATCTTTCATTGAGAAAGGCGTCCATAAGACTGCCCTGTAGATATGTCTTTGCATCTATCTGTGCAGCGTTTTCTGGACTGATGATTGATATGAGAGGGTTCAACTCACTGTGGGTGGTGCCACCCCTAGGTAGGTGGTCCGGATGCTATAAGACAGCAGGCTGAGTAAACCACAGGATCAAGCCAGTAACTACCTTCCTCCGTGGTTTCTGATCCAATTCCTGTCTTCAGGGCCCTGCTCTGCTTAAGTGTCTGTCCTGACTTTCCTCAGTGATGGATTGTGATGTGGAACTGTAAGCTGGAATAAAGCCTTTGCCCCACAAGTTGCTTTTTGGACATGCTTTTTGGTGATGTCTTTATCACAGTAATAGAAACTGTAACTAAGACACGAGCCTCACTTTTTCAACCCTAACATTTGTTTGAAACCTAACAAGGTCAGGTTTCAGTGTATGACTGAGGAATGCATGAGCATTTGATTTCTCGATTTGTTATCCAGGTTTCTATTCCAGCCCCTGCTTTGAACTCTTTTTGGTTTGTATCAAGAAGTAAAATTGTCACCTAGCTAGTCAATGTTTAAGTTTGCGAGGAACCACCATGCTATCTTCCACAGCACCACAGTCCCTTTGGGCAAGCAGGGTCTGGGGTGGGGGAGGTTCAGCACTCACTTCATCCACACTAAAGCCTTCTCTTTCTCTCGGCCACAGGCCAGTCCATCGTGGGTTGCAAGGCCATCCTCATCGACGACCAGGTCTTTGTGGTGGTGGCCCAGCTCTTTGGTGGCTCTCACATTTACAAATACGATGAGAGCTGGACCAAGTTTGTCAAATTCCAAGACATAGAAGTGTCTCGGATTTCCAAGCCCAACGACATTGAGCTGTTTGAGATCGACGATGAGACGTTCTTCATCATCGCCGACAGCTCGAAAGCCGGCCTGTCCACCGTTTACAAGTGGAACAGCAAAGGGTTCTACTCGTACCAGTCTCTGCATGAGTGGTTCAGGGACACGGATGCAGAGTTTGTGGACATCGATGGGAAGTCACACCTCATCCTGTCCAGCCGCTCCCAGGTCCCCATTATCCTGCAGTGGAACAAAAGCTCAAAGAAGTTTGTCCCCCACGGTGACATCCCCAACATGGAGGATGTCCTGGCTGTGAAGAGCTTCCGGATGCAGAATGCCCTCTACCTTTCGCTCACCCGTTTCATCGGGGACTCTCGGGTCATGCGGTGGAACAGTAAGCAGTTTGTGGAGGTCCAGGCTCTTCCATCCCGGGGGGCCATGACCTTGCAACCCTTCTCCTTCAAAGATAACCACTACCTGGCCCTGGGGAGCGACTACACCTTCTCACAGATATACCAGTGGGATAAAGAGAAACAGCAGTTTAAAAAGTTTAAAGAAATCTATGTGCAGGCTCCCCGGTCTTTCACAGCTGTCTCCACCGACAGGAGAGATTTCTTTTTTGCATCCAGTTTCAAAGGGAAGACAAAGATTTTTGAACATATCATTGTTGATTTAAGTTTGTAAAAGGTGTGATTGGGGGAATTTCAAAGATGTGTAGTGTTAGCTCTCGCAAGAGAGAAAGGGGACCAAGAAGAAATAAAATTTTAAAAAAATCATAAAATAAGCCAGGCTCAGAGCTCTGAAATTAAAATTCATAATGCACTGGGGAAGTAGTTAGATATTTTCAAACTTTTAGGAGTCACATTTTAACCAGGGATTGCATTTTTTTTTTTTGGCTGATTGCATGACAGGCCCGTGCTGCTGTTTAAATATGACATCTTAAAGCCTGTAATTTCTGAGAAAAGAGCGCAGCATCTTACCATCTAGCAAACAGCGCGCTACTACTTTATTTTCAATGAGAAAGGAGAACACTGAGCAAGAAGGGCCAGCCCTTTTAGTGAAATACAAAACCAAAACGCCCCCGCCCCACTAAGCCCACAGACCTGCCTCGTCCCATCTTCGCAATCTTTCAGCCAAGAGCTGTAAAGCCGAAGTGAGCTGAAAAGATTTGCTGATCATCCGCTTGAACATCTCAGAACACTTCGCAGTGCTATTCTGAGCCATCGCAGTTTCGTGAAAGTCAGGGCCAGTCTTCCGGCGTCTTCCTTGGAGCAGAACCTTGGCTCTGCCCTCGTTTGGATTGATCCCCCTCATGGAGTGTGTTCCCGGGTTAATATTTGATATCGCTTCCTCTGCCACAGAGAAAACATTCTGGTGACACGTGTCTAGGCCAGCATGGGCTGTGGGTCCAGCAGCAGCAAGATAAAGGGGTTCCCCCTGGTTTTTTTTTTTTTGTGGTTCAAAGGTGACCCTCGAGGTGGCTGGAGCAATCATGTGTGTCTGATGTGCGCTGTTGCTCACTTGCATCTCTGAACCCATCCTTTTAGATTGTGGGTAACTGGCAGACGGGCCAAAGGCTGAGCGGTGCTTTTCATCTGTTCTTTGGAGGGATGGAACAGGTGTTTCCATCCACTGCGCGCTGGGGAGGGCTTTTGAAGTGAGATTGTACGGAGTCAGAGGGGACTTTACTCAGATCTGGATGCGCTTTAAGGCTCAGAGGGGGCCCTTTGATTGATGCATGCCTTTGCCCTCTGGACAACTTAATATTTCAAGTAATTGGTTGAATGGAAACCTGTCTCCCTGCCCACCTGCCTCCCTTGCTCCTGGAACAAGGCTTTGTTGAGTCGCAGCGATGACAGTGGCTGGCTTGTGCAACCCTGCTGCAGTTTCTGCACGTGCAAATGTCCAAATCCCTGCTGTCAACAGGGGCATACCTCCCTCTTCCAGCACACAAGGCAAAGGAAGCTTGGCCATGTGCTAGTGGTGGGGCATCCGGTAGAGCGTCAGGACAGACCAGCATCTCATAGTCCGTGCCTGTGCTCAGGACCAGGTGGGCTATTTCGAACCAGGCCTCCCCATGGGGACAGCAGGGAGGCTCTTGGGGGTCTGGTTTTGTCGGTAGTTTTATGGTGGATTTCTAAGTAGCTGGTTCTCTTTGAGACTATAAAGCAGATGCTTTTTTAGGGGAGCCCTTTGCAGAGTAACCCACTACATCCCTTCCAGCCATGAAGGTGGCATAATCCCACTGCAGTGTGCTGTGAAGTTCGAACCCTCATCGCCACCCTGTAGATAGGTAGAGGGGGTGTCTGAAATGTGATTGTGTCTGTTCTTCTCTGTAAGCGGCAGGGACTGATCAATAGATACACCACACTGGAGAGCTGTGCATGGATGGTAAGCAGTGCTCCTGGCTGCTGTTTCCAGCCTAGGGGACCAAGGACTTTAATGAACCCTGTCACTCACACTCTCTAGAGTGGTTGCTTGGAACTTTGGTGCTAAATGCCAAGCAAACAGAATGAGTGGTCTGCTTTAACTTTCTAAGCATAAGTGACTCTTTCTTTGCATTCTTTTGTCTTCCTGGTTCATTTGAATTGACCACGAGTTTCCCTGCTCTCCATGTTGGAGACTGAAGGTGTGAGGCTTCTGCTCTTCCTTCCCCTAGAAAACAAGGGAGCCATGCCCCCCCCCCCACTCCCCAGGCATGGGTCCCCCAGACCGGCTGGTAGCACTGACATCCTGTTTCCTGCTGCTCAGGGAGGAACCCACAGGGGCATCTTTGAGGGTGCTGCCTCCACAGAGCCTCGCCCCGCCATTGCATAGAGTTTGGAAAGTCACAAAACACAGGGGTTTGAGCTTGGGATGGGGTCTTTGTTACACCCAGAAGAAGCATTTGAGTAACCGCAAAGGTCCCTAGTAGGTGGTGGGGCTGGGGTGTGAGACGACTGGCTGTCCTCTCTGCTACAGTCAAGGTTCCTTGTTCTTTTAAATTAAGTTTATACAAGAGTCTGCAGTCTTCTGTGTTCTGTGCTGTGCGGGGAGATATTTGTTCTGGCCAAAACGCAGCGAAGGAGCAGAGACGTTCTTGGCATAAGATGGGGGAGCTTTGCTTCATTAATCTTACTGCTCTCTCCCAAGAATCCCTGAAGTTTTAAGCAATTTCTGCAAAAGGCTTTCTTCCAGTAATGATGTACAATAACAAAACTCACCCACACAACCATGACAAAAGCCCAAAGCAGAGAAAAGCATAGGGCTGCCCAGCCGAGGGGGATTGCCCCCTCCCTTTCTCTCGTCTCCCCTCCCCATCCTTCTCTTTCTTCCCATCACCCGTACACTGTCACCTTCTCAGCTTACCCTTTGTCATCTCTGCACCTGGGTTCCTAGGCTGATCCCACCAGTCGGTAGTCATGTGACTTTAAGGCCATAACCTGAAAGCGAGGGTTAGTCCTCAGACTCTGTAGGATCAGTCATAGATCTCTATAAAGACGAAGAATAAACCTTCGGGCTGACAAGGGCTTTGTTCTTGGGCTGTGGATAGGATCAGCTCACATCCCAGATGCTTTGTGTCCCTGCTCTGTGTATCTGTGTTCCTCTCGTGTGTCATGTGTCTTTGGTTTACGGAGGGCAGGTGTTACTCTAATTTCAGAGAGAAGGGAATAGACACAGAGTCCAAGTGGATGGCCGGCCTGCCATTATTCAGTTATAAGCAGCAAAGCTAGAACTTTCCCTTGGACAGTGGGTTTTACATCTTCTCTCTAATGCTCTGCTGTGCCCACAGACACTGTTGCCATGACAGTGAAGACAGCAGTTCTTGTAGACAAGCAGGACGAAGAGCCAGAAGAAAAGTCTTCCTGGCAGACACCATTCAACCATCAGTAACACTGAACAATTAGCAAACACCCCAGAACTCTGTGACATGCCCAGTCAGGCTCGAGAAAGCCTTCCGGAAACATCGGATAGCTTCAGCTGTCTGGAGAGGATTTCTAGCAGGCATGGCTGTAACTCCTCCCACATAGCCACGGGAGGAGTGCTGAGGCTGGACACATCTGGTTCTTGTCACGATGTCCACCAGAAAAGATGAGTTCTGTGAGAGAAATTAAAAACCCAAATGCAGAAGCAATGGTGAATTGTTCTGGGGCCCTCTCCGGCCTTTGGGGGGCTCACGGAGAGCAACAGTGTTGTGCTCTTCTTCCTGAGGAGTGAGGCTGCCGTGTTTCTTAGGAAAGAAATCAGTGTGAGATGCTGGAAGTTGAGCCGCCCGGGGTGCTCACGATGGGTGTCTGTGGGAGGGGCTCCTGTTTGCATGCCACCTAAAAGGAAACCTCTATCCAGTTTCCAGATCCTTCGGCAGAAGAACCAGGCCTTGTGTGAAGCTTCGAAAGGAAGTTACCTCCTTAGGCAGTGCCCAGGGTTTTGTTGGACAGCGCACTGGGACAGAATCAGCAGTCTACCAGCAGGTGCAGTGAACAAGGTGGTTCAGATCCGGGGCATGGTGGCAAAGGGGGGAGAAGCACAGGGCAGATGGCTACAGAGCAAATGCATTGGGGAGAGTGGGAATACGCTTGAAAGGAAAGAGTAATCACAATTTCTGTTGCCTTAGCAGAGGGTAGAATGACCAGGCAAATCAGCAGCATGCCGATAATTGAACAGCGTCCATTGTGATGCTGATTCAAATAATGACGTCATCGGGCCTCTGAGCTCTCAGCTGAGGCCCCTACCCCCTCTCATCGCTTGCACCGGCAGCCACCTTTCTAGTGGGAAACTATGCATTCCCTGTCCAGCCCCTTGACTATCAGGAATGTATGAGAACTGTGATAAAATAGGCCAATATGCCATTTGGTACCGTTTTTATGTATTTTAAATGTACAACTTAGGCGAAACAATACTTTCTATGTGTACGGAAGTAAGTTTTACAGCAGACAATGATGGATGTGTTTTCAAGCTGTGGATATACTTAGCTCTTTTTGGAAAATAGAGTCAACACATGATATGCCTCTTAATTCTATATATTCTGTAATCCTGTGAATAAAAAGTAGCAAATGCCTAACACAGTTTCAATGTCTGGTCTGCTTAAAAACGGCTGTGTCCACTTGAGTCATGGCTGAAGGGTGCCGCAGAGAGCTGAGGCGGTTGGGGAGGATGGAGATACCTTCTTTGCTGTTTAAATGGAAGATGGGTGCCATGGGGGCCCTTGGCTTTTTTTCGGTTGGAAACTAAGAATTCATTAAAAAGCCACTAAAAAACCCTGAAGAACTTTCCAGTATATATCTCTTTCATCTGTGGACTCAGAAACCTGGTGGATGGGCTCTGGGTTCTAGGAATCTCTGAGGAGCTTAGGGTTGTCTGTGGCAATATAAAGGAGGATAGTAGGTCTATTACACATGGTTGCCACATGTACCTCAACCTAAGACACGTTAGCTTAGCTGGACAAAGGAAGGGTCAAGATCCTATTCTCATTACTGTGAATTAGGCAATACCTACTGTGTGCAGAGCACTCTACTGTGCTATGGGCTCCGTACAAATTGCTCGGGTGTAGGTACAAGCATCCATCGTGGGGGCTGTGTGACTAGTTGATCAATAAAAACGACCATTAGGGTTATAGATAAAGGATGATGGCCCAGGCATGACATAGTACTGGCTTTCTATCGCTACATCTGTATCCCATTTCCCAGGGGCGGGGGCCCAGGCATGGCTTAGCTGGGGCCTTTGTGCAAGGTCTCCCAAGTCTGTGCCTGGATCTGCTGGAGGCCTAGCTTGTTCACATTGTTGGTAGAGTTGATTATCTTGTGACTGATGGGGGGGGGGGTCCCCACCCTGTTTGCTGGCCACTGGTTGGAGGCCTCTGTCAGCATCTAGAACCCCCCCCCCCGCCCAGGTCTTTCTTCTTCCCCGTTGGTCCTCCGACCCTACAGCTGCTGGCTTCTTCAGGTCGCCTGGAGCTCCAGAAGAGAAAACCCATCCCTTTGGCCTGGGTCCCTTCCTTTGAGCCACCCATATAGAGAATCGATTCTTAGGGGAAAGGTCACTGTGAGCCACAGGAAATACCTTTTCATCCAGTAGACACAGGAGAAGGATCTGGCCCTTTGTGCTTGATTTTTGCTCTGAAATCATGGTGTCATGTTTGTAAAGTGACGGAAGCAAAAATCTCCAGGCCTGCGATCCTGAAACTCATTCAGGCAGAGGCCCATCCTGACACCCCGGGGTGGCTGGTCTTGGATATCAAGAGCTCTTCGAGGTTCTGCAGCCCGATAGAGGCAAGGACATTTCTTTTCCCCATTTCTCAGAGCTCTAATTGAAGCCTAACTGTCCGGGAAGAACTGGAGCCTCGAGGAATGTGTCACCTTCCCTGATCAATTGGCTTGTACCTGCCTCCCAGACAGGACACCCGTTACTAACCAAGCTCTAATTGGCACAAATGACTCTTTTTAGACAACAAATTGGTAGCAGAGGTGATGCTGAAGGTCTCCAAAACACCCAACCTCCTGGGTTCTGCTGTAGGCAGTCTCTCCTTAAATGTGAATTTCTGGTCCTGCCCGGAGTCAGACAGCAAATTGAGCAAGCAGGCAGGGAGGCTGCCCAGCAAGGTGAGAGGCTTCCTCAGGTGGTAACCTAGCAACTGCTGCCTTCTATGGATGCCCCAGAACGTCCCGTCCAGACCTCTGGATGTCTGGTCCAGGAGGTTTCCAATAGACAGGAGGGAAAGGACGTCTGGGTTTCCCTCAGGGCAGTAGGAAAGTTTAGCTCACTGCATCAAGACTCTCATTGCTCCCACCCTCAAGATAGTACAGAGCTCGGAGCCCTGTCTCCAGTTCCAGGTTGGGTGAGAGGCAGCCACTCCCAACCCAGTTTTCCCAGAGAGGGCTTCGTTAGCCATTGGCTGCAGTGAAAACAGGGGAGGGGCTTCAGGTAGAGTTTCACTGTGGATGCTTGTGCTGGCCAAGGCTCCCACATTTATTTCCTTTCACTGGTCCATGGATTCTGGACCAGTCATGGCCATAAGACTTGTATGTAAATTTCAGCTTTCCATCCATTTCCAGTCCCTTTACAGGATACAGCACATTGGAGCTCAAGTCACAGGAAAGCCTGAATTTTCTTGTTCATTGGGTTCTTTCTAGTTAATTCTGAGTTCCCACTGTGTGGCCAGTGCTGAGAGTGTGCTGAGAATACAAAGTCTTAAGAGAGAGAGAAAGGTGGGACACTGTGGTACATGCTTTTAGTTCCAGCCACGGGAGGCAGAGGCAGGCAGATCTCCCAGTACGAGGCTAGACTGGCCTACACAGAGAGAGCCCAAGTCCTGCCAATGGAGGGAGGAGGGGGACTAATTAGAGTGTAACTCTTAACGAACTAGTCCACAAGCCACACAGACAGGGCAAGCTGTTTTGATCTTTTCCCTCATGCCCCCGACAGAAGAGAAAGGCCTGCCATGTCTAACCTTCCACGAGCCGCTTATGAATGGCGGCATCCCCAAGCCTCTTGCTCTCTCTTCAGACTCACCACATGCCCAGCTCCGCTCATGCCCAGCCTCTCCTCCTTTCTCCACATCCATTTCCCTCTGTGGATGAAAGGGGCGGGGGATGCCCTAAGCTAGCTCACCCTCATGTATGGTTCCTGCTGTTACCGTCAGTTCAGCCAACTGTTAGATCCTGCTGCCCTTGCTTCCCTCCGCTACACCATTCTACTTAACCTTTCCCCAGAATTCTCCATGCCCTTTCCATCAAAAGGTGGGGCCCGGGTTTCCACCCTGGGGCGTGAGCTGTGCTTGGAGACTTGCTTCTAGGTAACAAATCTAAGAGAATGGTTAACGATTTATAAGAACAGACGTTTTTGTTTGAGACAAGGTCTCATGAAGAAGTCCTGACTGGCCTTGAACTTGCTATGTAGATCAGGCTGAAGTAGGACTCACGGTGATGAGCCTGCCACTGCCGCTCAAGGGAGCAGCTGGTAAAATATACCGGGTGTCTCTTCATCTCCTGGATCACTCTCTGAGGAAGGCCTGCCATGCGAGCCACTCCCATAGTCTGTTGAGGAGCCCGTGGGAGGAACCCGCTTCATATCAACAGCTAGTGCAGTTGTGGCAGCCACTGCCAAGCCTTTGGGTGACCACAGGTCCGGCTGCCATCTTGAATGTCACCTCCCTGTGCCGTGAGACCACTGCGTGTTTCCTAGCTCACAGAAGCGGTATGAGATTTGAGTGCTTGTTTGTGTTTGTTTGTTAGATGGTTTCTCTGTACAGCCTTGGCTGTCCTGGAATTTGCTTTGTAGACCAGGGTGACCTTGAACTCACAGAGATCTGCCTGCCTCTGCCTCCTGAGTGCTGGGATTAAAGGCATTCATCATCACCGCCTGGTGAGTGCTTATTGTTTTCTGTTGTGTTTGGGGAAAGTTTGGCATGAATCAATGGGTAATATATCTTTTTATTGCCTTATAGGATGAAGTCACTTTTAGATAGACACATCACTTTAAGAAGGCGTAGGAACCAACACATACTTGCCCCATCATTGAGAGATGCATTTTCCATAAATAATTTAATCTTGGGCTGGCGTATGTTACCTCTGTTTGCTCTCTCTTAGTCAGACAAGTCCGGTTGTCTCTATTGGATGTGGCAAGCACCTGATTTGATGACGTTTGTCCATCTCTTGGCTACTGCTGTGCTACATCTTTAAACTCATTCATTTGAAACAGAAGGTATGGCTACAATACAGCAGTCTCTGAGCCTTGTAGAACAATGTCCCTGCCAGCTTCTGGGGTGTGAATTCACCCTGTCCCAAGCTATACATTCACCTGAGTGCTGCACCCCTTGGAAAGCAGAGAAATGCCTGAACAGCACCTTTTTGAGCAGTAAGACTCATACTGTGGGGTTTGTAACGCTCATCCTGCTGCAGCCTTGCTGATGGGTTAACAGAGTAAGCAACTCTGGAAAATTCTTACTCTCTACAGGAGGACCAGAGAGACCAGGCTGAGGCAAGCATCTCTATGACCAATTCCCTACTCCTTATCTTTTTGGTTGTGAGCCTAGCCTCTAATGGTTGAGCCATCTCTCCAGCCCCAGCTGTCTGCTCCTAAGTCACTCAGCTCACTGTGTAGGAACTAGAGAGAGCAAGGCCCCAAGGAGGTCAGGGGCCTCATGGCAGAACTCCCATTGCAGGGAAAGGAATCCTATGAAGTAGGAGAAAAGTCTTTCCCACCAAGGCCAGCTGTCAATCACGTCCCCTTCTGAGGACAAGACAACACTCTGGTGTCCCTGAGAAGCTCGAGAGCCTGGCTCCCCTTCTCCAGATTCCTTTTGCAAGCTCTGCCCAGAGACCAGAGAATCTATTTTTACCCTGGTGGAGAAGAGCTTTTTTCTCTCTGAAGCAGGTTAGGGAAGGAGAATTGTTTGGTAAGGAAGGACTCATCCCGAGGTGAAGAGGTAGGCACCAATCTCCTCACCCCCCTCCCTTCTCACCAATTTCTCCCATCAGATTTTGACATTGCAGTGTCCCAGTGTCATCCGAGGTCCTGAGAGAAACTGGTCAGTTCTCACAAAGCAAGTCTGGAGTTTCTGGTGATTTGTATGTTCAGCTGAGTGGAGTATCTGCTCTAGTTACGAAACACTCAGCTCCCTACGGCCCTGCCATCTGTATTTACAGTGTCACATGCTGCTGAGGTGGCTTTCCCTCCCTCCGTTGACTGCGAGCCATTTGCATCTTCTGTCACAATAAGTAACCCCAACAGAACTTCCAGTATGTAGGTTCTAGCCCAGGCTCCTCCTTGTCCAGGAATCCAAGATAGTGACTTATAGTCATGACAGCTAGAGGAAGGAAACAGTGGGCAGCTGGGAAGGGGAGTGAGAGCAAACCCCAGCCAAGCTGTTGCAGGGGTGGTGGTTGGGGGGCTGGGGCAGGAGAAACTGCTGGCTGCAGAGTTGAGACTGGTCTAGCCTGCCTCTGGCCCTGGGAGTACAGAGAGGGGTGGGCCCTGTTGGGTGCTGGGGACCAAGCAGAGTGGATTAGACCTTTGCTCATTAGTTCTAGGGAGTCTTCTGGGAGGTAGACACTCCCCATCT